TAGCATACGGCATTTTGGGTGGCTTCTTTTCTGTCTTTTCCTTCACTTTGCCCAGGTAGTCTAATAGAGTACCTGGGCAAAATGAAGGAAGAGGCAGAAAAGTGCCCTTTTCTGGGGCCGTATGCTATTCTCCCCCTCGAGGGGAGGGGTCCCCTCTAGGGGAAGACACCCCAGGGGGACGTTCCCTAGAGCGGCCGTATGCTATACTCGAGGGGATCCCCGAAGCGAAGAGTTGGCTGGCGCAAATTTGGGGGAAAGGTCGTCCGTACATCCAGCCTCTGGCTTTGCACTTTGACATTTCAGGGAATCTCAAGCTAAGACTGATGATTATCAATTGCAATCATTTGCCCTGTTATTGTAAAGCTATTTTCAGGCTGAATTGTGTATTAATCAAGGTCATAGGGTGACCACATTAATTTTTTCAACATTTTTGAATCAGCGTTCAATAAAATACTTCCTCAGTCTAAATTTTCGAAAAGTAGGAATCTCTAGATTGAAGGGTGGCTGAATCTGTCCCACCGTAAGAACGACATGTTATCCACTATCTTAGTGGCCCTGTCTCTATCACTATGTTCTCCGCTCTCCGAACGCGCACTCATTTTCAGTATGGGCAATGCAACAGCATATTACATACATAAAAATGGATTTCACCTCGTGACTGAGGTGATCCTATTTTTCTCATGGTTTTAACTGTACACTAGTGTTGTTTTTCAAAGCTGCTTAGCGCTAGCTACCGCGATGAAGCGTTTTTAGAGAAAATTTAGAGGAGCTCAGAGAAAGTAGTGCGACACACGATCCAAGTAGGGCATCCTTATGGTTAGTACAAAGTTCGCTAAGTTGAGTTATCTACCTTCTTTAGTAGATCCAAATTTGTTCCAGAGGACTTTGTGAAACCAGTAAGAATTAGTTGCACGGACTTATTTGCTACTCGATAACTTGTTAGTCATTGATCATCACCAGTGACTCAATATTGTACGACAATGAATAAAATGGAGCGCCCCAATGAAAAGTGCTTAGACATGCGCGCGCGAGTTTTCTTCTTTCAAAGAGGCGACCTCTGCATGGTTTGGGCAGCAACCGTTGTGAACTCATACAACTTGTATTATTAATGCTGTATATAATATACGGCCTACATTATTATTGTTATAATGCAATCATATATATTTTATATTAGAGTTGAATATGTTTTATTAAGATTGAAAAGAGAACGTTCAGGTTGGCTAAAAAGCTATAATAAGTCCTAAGAATGAAGAAATGATCATTTTTGAAAGTGTAAAAGTGCGGTCAGACAATAGCATAGAATAGCTCTCCAAACACTGTGTAAACAGTAATGAGGTGAAAAAAACCGGTAGAGTGGTTAGGAATGTTTCTGTATTATGAAAAAATAAAGAAAAGTTCAAAACAAAACGAAATAAACTAAAGAAACTGTTCCAGGGGATGTCTTCCCCAACACTTGTTGTTGGGGGAGCTCTCCCCCTGATTTGGTAGGGGTGGCGTCTCCCCCAAAGCCTTCGGGGGAAGTGTAGCATACGGATAAGGAGACCCCTCCCCTCGAGGGGGAGTATAGCATACGGCCCCTGGTATCCCCCTCATCACATCATATCCCACTGACCCTATTTAACCGGCGCCCACTCCCGCACGTGGTATGCAGCCGCCACGTGAGCAGCTAGTGCAACATAGGGACACTACGCCGCCACTTCTTACCACCGCCTTGCTCGTGCTTACGTCCAGCTCCTAAGCAAGCAGCTCCTGCAATAGCATAGAGTCTATTACAGTGGTTGGCTTAGATAGCGGGAGCAATTCACAATCCAAATAAATTCTTAGTTCGTTGCTGTAACATGGATTAGCTTGAAGTTTTGCTAGCGGTTCTTTCCCTCTCGCTTGCCGCCTGCTCCTATTCAAGTGTACGCTACGCATCCCCTTACTGTGTACCCAGTTTGCCCGATTCAGTAAAATACGCCTCCTTCCCCCTGCATGGGCTCAGATTCGGCTGAGTACGCGCAAGGGAGTGAGGATGGGAAGAAGGGGGTCACCCGATACTAACTCCACCTCCTCATCTCACCCCATTTTGTATCCGCCCCTTGCACGGCACTTACGTCCAACTGCCACGCGAGAAACCCGTGCAATGGCATGGAGTTTAGTGATCTCTAAGCTCATGTAGAGTGTTATCACAACCAAAACAAACTTCTTAGTTCGTTACGGTAACATAGAATGACATGGCAGTTTTGTTAGCGGTTGTTTCCTAATCCCTTGGTGCGGCGTTTCTACTGCAACGCGCGCTACGCACCCCTCACTGTACACCCCTCCCCCGCGACCCCTTCACTCTGCCTCCCTCCCATACATGTGCCCAGCTATGGCTGAGCACGTGCAGGAGAGGGGCAGGGCGACTGGGCACCCCCACCCTGCCCTCGCACGAGCACAACTCCAGCTGCCACGGCAGCAGCTCGTGCAATGGCTCAGAGTGTACCGAATGGTTGTCTTATAAGCAGAGGCTGTTATCATAATAAAAATCACTGAATTGCTACATCCTCCCAATCGGTTTCCGGTTGCCTAGCGGTCGTTTTCTCCTCCAGCGAACTCGAACCCGTGAAGCATTTTGCGGACGGACAGACATACATACATACAAACATACAAACCGACACACAGTTACTGGTTTATAGAATGAAAGGATACATAATAAACGAGGCAAAAATTCTTAAATACTCAGCACAGTGTACGAAAGTAAACTGGATATCAAGAAAACCAATTTCTGTCCGAGCATAGCGGGAATTACCTTGATATGACTATAAGCATAACTAATGAAGGTGTACTAACTAGACTACAATGAAACGGATGACTTTGATTTCAAAGTAATCAGGTTTTCACATGAACTTACCAGTGTTTCAACTAACTGTAAGGCCTCCGCTATTTACACAGAATCTTAGAATAGCAAATACATGTTCCACATTCTTAGATTTTAAAGAGAAACTAGTAATCTTTATAGACTTTCTTGCTGAAAATGGTTAAAGGAAAAAAGGATAAAATCTTCGCCGTTGATCAATCCCTTTTTGGGATGCGGCACGCATTCTACTTCTATTCAGAATCGTAGCTCCACATTGAATGCGATGTGTCCTATACAATGACTTGCGATGGCCAGCCGATGTTCAAGTCAGTGTTTTGCCTTCCCAGACAAATCTGGCACCAATTCACCGTCCCCGTAGGATAGAAGGCTTGGTTGGCCTGGGCGGGAGTTGACCCGGGTTTCGAACCCGGGACCGCGCGAGTGGTAAGCGCGCCATCTGTCACTACACCACCTCGCCTCCTGAAAATGGCTACTACAACGAATTTATAGCGGCTATTATAGTTAAATGTCTTTATAAAAACAAATACATTGGATATAAATACTCTTTAACACATAGTGTCAACAACTTAAAACGGTTACTAGTAGGTATATTTGAATTCTGAATCGCTTGGTAGCAATTTATTATCCGGATATTAGCAGTAGTATTGAATTAGCTTTGAGTACGATTAACCTTTCTTCCTTTGGATTTATTAATTTGCACACTTTCATTGATTGCCTCTTACCATCTTTCTGTGTATATTCTTTGTAAACTGTCGTAGGTAGTTATTATGCTTTAGCCTTCCTTTTTTGACCGCCCGTTGCTGAGTATAACGCACAGAATTTCCCGCTCGTTTTTGTCTCGAGATACTATATGCTTAATTCTAATAATTAGGTCTTCCTTAGTTTGCTCCACGAAGTTTGCTCAACTTGGTTTTTTTCTCCCAATTTACCTTGCAACTCACCACTAATCCATTATCTACTTTTCATAAGTCAATTCCCAATCACTGAAGAACCTCAGGGATTGACTTACACAGACAGTTCGTATGACGAAGAGGTGAAACGAACTGTCTATCTTGATTCTTTTCTTCCATTACTCAATGATCTCGATGGTATTATCCTTTATTAGCTTTTCAATTAGAAGTAAAAAAAGAGACCGTCGAAAATGCTCAAGTCCGTCGACAAGTTTGAGCACCTTAATCTTAGTGGAAAGAGAACTTTAAGGAAATAAATACTGAAACCAAATTGCTGCAGTTGCTGTGAGTGGCAATATAAATTCCGTGAACTTTCATTCCAACATTCCTTATCAATTCTTATCAGAAGATACCACTTTTTTTTCACCCATTGTATGCTTTTCACATCGTTGACGTAAGCAACATAGTTGTCAAGGCGAGCACCGTCCCCGGATGAGCGTACGAAGCAGTGTACGCACCCAACCATAATAGTTGCCACTTATGGTTACGTGCAGCACAATGCGAACCTGCTGACGGTCACCTTCAGTTGTGCGTCCAGGGAGTTGAGATACGGCCCTTATTCTGTGCTGATGGCCGATCAAACGTACCTTCGAATAAAATAACTTCAGCTTGAAACCACCGGTACCAACGGGACACTGTGGCATGGCAAGCCACAGCCTTCCTGGCAACGCATGTGTTAGTTCCCTTGACAGAGTAGCCTTATAGGAATTCATATATTTAGGATGTCGAAAAGTACGCTGGTCTTCGGGAGGGCGGGGACTTCAAAACTCTGAGTGTTGCCACAAAGCCATGTCTTATCCGCGAAGTCCTTAGCGAACACTATCCACTAATCAGTAGCAAAAACATGCAAAAATTAATCTTGCTTTTTTTAAAAACAGTCTACAAAGCAAAGGTCTAATACGGTAAGGGGCTCCACCGGGACAGCATAACAATCTCCTAGCTCCGAGTCACAGAATAACAAGCTCCGAGCCACTTCCAGGTTCTTGAAGACAACGATCTTGAAGAGGAAGACAAAACGCTCACCTTCAGCGCAGTTTCATCATAACATAAGGCAAAGTAGTAAGGACGTGCGCTGATCACCAACCTCAAAAGCTTTTTTTCGCCATTGGCGAGGTCGTCCTGGCGGCATAAACACACTGCCACGCGATTTTTTATCCAGGTAGTAGCTGTCAATTCTGGAAAAAGCGACATCTCTCTTTCGAATATTCCAGAAACTTCAGCAAGAAGTACCGTTCTTCACGCTCAATGATACGGATACATGAGACCAGTTCTTGAGGACCACTACCACTTTCGCTGCCCTTCACCATCTCCAACGCACGGCCAATAATAAACCACATGTTGCTACTCAGATCAGTTACTAATTCATCGACTTTTATGAAGAAAGTCACGAGAAGCTTAAAAACTTCTTGAAATAATTCAAGGTTACCACAAAGAGTATAACGGAAATTCACATTTTTCTCATAGTCCTTGTTGGGAGAATCAGACTTGTGCACCTCGAATAACAACTCATCCCTAGCCAGCTCAAGATCCATTATGCTGAATGATTATAGATTGGTGCAACAAAAATGGTGTTGTGAAACATATGGCAGTAAAATAACAGCTGAATAGTATTATACATTGGAAAAAGGCCAAAGTTGCATCTACAAGGGAGAAATTAAGATGTAAGAGAATTAATCAGAGTGAAGTGGGAAATAAGAGTTTAGGCTTCCTCAATCCACAGCAGCCAGGGTTCTGAAATCTTGAAACACGTAATGTGTGGAGCAGTGGTGCGCTGGGCGCACTAGTGGTTCTTGATGCTCACCACTTGGTTGATTGCCGCCCATGAGGATAAAGCTTCGGTGGAATGAAAAAAGTGGTCTGCTGCAAGATTTTCCGGCGGATCTTGTGTCCCATTCTTGAGTTACCGGTGAAATATTAACATCACAAATAACGCGCCGTATAGTGAATGTCGTCAACTAACTTTTTGTGAGCTACAAGTAGTTTTCCTTGATCCAGAGCCGCCTTGGTATCTTGGATAGTTCGAGTTATATTGAAAATGTGCTTCAAATTCTCCATAGCAGCTGCGTATTGACCTTAATGAAGTGAATACAGTAGTGCGCCCTTCTGAAAGTGGTCAAAATAAAAGATAAGATTGGTAAGAAAGTTCTGTCAGTGTTTTTCGAGAGGCTTACTCGTTTAATTTTTGATGCTCAAACATGGCTTAGATGCTATGTTTGCTTAACCCATTGCGTACCGCGGCGTTTTCGCGAAAACGGGCGCCTGTGGCCGACGCCTTTTTGTCGACGCGACTCATGGCGCGCCGAGTATAAACAAATAAGATTTTTATCACATACATATGACATGAAAATAATGCATCTACTTCGTATATACATTACACTTGTATGCATGATTGTGATAAGTAAAACTGGATACCATTACGTGATAAACGTGATGGGCTAAAAACATGCGAAAATTGACAAAAAGGTTAATAGATTCAAAAGGGATTGGAAACAGGAAGTAATATGTTTATAAATTGTTCAGTTTTACTATTTCGCGAAATTTTAGTAGAGTCACAGCCAGAATTTTAAATTGACTGGTTACTAAGAATTAAAGGCAGCGTCCGCGATCAACCAAAGTGAAAAACCTCCAAAAAAAACGAACGCGGAGTTCGCAATCACAGCAGAAATCCCACTGCTGGGCTTACGCCTCCTGTCCTGTTAATCCCGCCCCTACTGGTTGACAGTTATCAGTGCTTGCTGGCATTGATGTACGCTGAATTTCTAGAGTTCCGAGGCGGCGACTTGTATTGGAGAACTCACCAGAAGTTTGCGAAACTCGTCCACACGCCTTAAATTTCATAGGGTCTTATTTCGCGCTCTTCAACACCTTTTCCTGCTTTTTTTTGATTAGTGCTTCACTGGCCACCTGTTCTAGCAAATGTGACCCCTGAAACCTGCCAAAGTCCATCGCGGGCGCTGTCTTTAAACAAAGGATATAGTAGCTGAAGAATTTCCCGAAAACTTTCGATAACTCAGCTCTAGTTCGGTCCCGCAATTTCCCACACGTATATTTCTTTCCCGGAGACTTCACAAATATACTGACACTCTTGAGTCATCTAGTAATGCTAGATAAGTTCAAACATAGCGCGCTGCACCATGTGTAGCACGCGGCCATACAGAGGCAAACGGGCGTGCTGCACATGGTGCAGCACGCGGTACGCAATGGGTTAACAAATCTTGCTCTTTTACTCGCATTTCAGTTGCGAGTATGACGTTCGTGACTTTGATGGATCACTTGGGGCTCGGCTTCGCCTCGAATGAATCCTTAAAATTTTTGCTAGCTTTCCCATCTCTGTTCCATGCTTTCCCTTTTACCTATGTGGATTATCTTAGGTTTGCTTTCGACTATTAATGCCAAGGTTTTCATTGCAAGTAGTGAGCAGTAGACGTTTTCTGTTTCTTCATTGCTTATGTTTTGTGAATGTGCTCTGTGGTCAGGGGGGCACTACAGAGCTTCTTGTATCCTTTGTTGAGAGAATGTAGCTTGTATTCAGTTATAAGTAATGTATCATTCTCACTTAGGATGAACAGATTCAGCCTTGATGGAGCAATTATGGTCGTCAACGTACACCCTGCGCACTGATTCCACGTGAGCGGCAGGTTACCGATGTTTTGGAGTTTCGGCAATAAACATAATGCGGCGAAGGCCATGTTGGGAACCCCAACAGATCGATCCGGTTATTTGCAATGAGATGTAGATAGAAGGACGAGTCTTGAGCTGCCGAACTCAAGTCTGCCTCAAAATTTCCGGAATGATGATCTGTGGGGAATAACGGACCATTCTTTCTCTGCTGTGGTCGCACAAGTACGGAGCCATAGTGATTGCGGCTAGCGGCCGGTGGTGTAATGAATAAACGCACTGCTCCAGAGGAACGAGGTCGCACTTCGGAAACCTTGACTATTGCAAATTTTTGCTTTTGTTTGAAGCAATTCATATGAATCTCGAACGCACTTCTGTTTAGCTAATTCATCCCGTTCTTTGATTATGACCATCAGAGCTTGCACAAAGAAATAAAGTTCTTATGGTTCAAGAGCACATGTGGTACATCTTGAAGAGAATTCTTTGCGCTATCTGATGGTATGATTGCCACCATTGCTTGATAAACTCCCTTTCAGAAGACTTTTTGAAGCATGTCAAAAGAGCAACTTCGGACAACATTTTTCTTCAACTACAAATTGGGTCAATCCGCAGTCGAGACAGCTCGACAAAATTTACCAGGTGTGGAGGCCCAATAGTGTTGGAGAAAGCAACATGCGACAATGGACCGACATTTCGTTCTGGAGATTTCAGCTTTGAAGATGAACTTCGTAGCGGTCGACCTAAAGCAACAACTGACGAGGATTCGAGGGTGTTTGTGGAGGCGACCCATCCCAAACAGTTCGAGAGATTGCAGAAAAGCTAGGCGTTGGCAAATCCACTGTTGCGGATGGTCTGAAACGCATTGGGAAGGTGAAGAAACTCGATAAGTGGGTGCCCCACAATTTGAGTGACCAGCAGAAATTAGCACGTCTCGAGGTTTCATCATCACTGCTTTTGCGCAAAACAAACGACCCGTTTTCCGACCGGAGTGTCACTTGTGATGAAAACTGGATCATCCCACTATACAGGGGGGGGGGCAATAAAAAAGTCACTTTTCTTCCTAGACTTTCGAGGCGCTGTAAGTTACACTTTATTGAAATCTGATTGGACACTTTCAACACTGTTACACTTTATTGAAATCTGATTGGACACTTTCAACACTATCTTGAGGAGCATATTAAATACTATCAAGGCTTTCCGCCATAGCCTTCTGGACGAGCGCCAGCGTAAGATTCTGGCACGCGACCGCAATGTGGTGCCTGAGATCAGCAAGATAGTCGATTTCTCCGACACCGTAGACCACCCTATTGAACTCCGCCCGAACCGGGTAATTGAGGGAGTTTAGGTCAAGTGACCTACTTGGATATTCCATCTCCTTTAGGTACTCAACGCCCTTCCATTCCAATTAGGAGATTTCCCTCCGATTCCATGTGGTGGCACCCAATGCCGTAGCGGTACAAAGTTTCCAAGAAGGTACGGGTGGCGAAATGTGTAGAGGATATTCTTCTCGTGTTGCGGAGTCCACGAAGACAATATAAGTCCTTCCATACCAGGTATGCCCGCCCCATACCATTAACCTGTGCCTTGCGACGTTGTCGGAGCTGCTCGATGTTGGAGGTCTTCCAGATCCAGAGTACTGGTCTCCAGGTAGCAATCCATGGGTGACGTAAACAGAAGAAATTCCGCAGCTGTTTGGAAGTGACGTGAATTTCAAGGGTCTTCTCCAGTCAGACTGCGACTGGAGGTGACTTCATATTTCGGTGTACATGAAGCTTATGGGCAATAGCCAGCTCCCGCTTATCGAGGAACATCTCGGGTATCTTCCGCCTTGGTACTCGTATCCACGTCCTCTGTCTGGGCAGCGAAACCTTTACTGATATGTGCACTGCGATCGAAGTGACTTTTTTAACATTGCGCCCCCCCCCCCTCGTATATAATCGGCTATCTCCATCGTGTGTGTGTGTGTGTGTGTCTGTGTGTGTGTGTGTCTGTGTGTGCGTATGTCTGAATGTCACGAAATTCATAGAACCTGAAGAATAACTTGGAGGGGTCGGGTCATGGCGCGGATGGGTTGAGCATGGGACAAAACCTAAGTAGCACCCATGATCCATGGGTAAGCCCGCCCCCAGTGGGCGGGGTGTGGGTCGAAAAGTTAGCGATGTCACTGAAAAAAGTCATAACTCGGTTCTAGAGCAGTCCCCAGATGAGGGAATAGTGCAGTAAACAACAAAACAAACAAAGGGCTGGCTTAACAAACAGAGGAGACGCACTCGAGGTGGGCCGGGCGTACTTGAGATGGCGGGGCTTATCGCTGAAAAAAGCCATAATTCAGCTACAAAGCACTTCGAAGACGGAAAAAGTGGGATAAGGTTAGCAGTGTGGCAAAGCAAATGAAGGAGACACACCCGAAATGGGCGGGGTGTTCTTGAGATGGGCAGTGCTCCCTGTGTCACTGGAAAAAGCCATAATTTGGCTACAAAGCACCTCGAAGACGGGAAAAAGTGGGATAAGGTTAGCATTGGGTTGGCAGAGCAAATGGAGGAGACATACCCGAAATGGGCCGAGTGTACTTGAGATGGGCTTCCCACAAAGATCGGTAACTCGGTTTCCGAAATAGATCAGAGATCGCAGAAAAGTCCATGACGAAGATGAGCATCTGGCAAGAGTCCACCGTGTTTGTGGCATGTTGAGGCCCGCTTACAAAGGGCGGGGCGTGCGTTTGAACAGGAGGTACCGGTTTAAAAAATTGTATGTTTGGTCCTGGAGCAATACAGAAGGCGCAAAAAAGTGGATTATGGTCCCCAAGTGATCACATGTCGGAATGTGCAAGACACCCCCGTTGTGGGCGGAGCGTGCCCGAGGTTGGTGGAGTCAAGTTTGAAAAATTTGTAAAACGATCCAGAGCACTCCAGACACCGGAAAAAAGTTTAAGATTATCGAGGCATACGTTGTGGGCGGAACGTGCGGCTATGTGGGCGGAGCCAATTTAAGAAAATTTCTTAAACGGTTCAGAACCTCCAGAGACCGGGGAAAAAGTAGTAAGACCAGCGAGGGGTTATCAGTTGAGGACATTGTGGCCAAAGCGCGCCCTGAGGGGGTGGAGCCCAATTCGAAAAACTCGCAACGCTTCCACAGCACTCCAGACAGCGGGAAAAGTAGTTGCAGATCACCGAGGGGTCACCGGTCTACAAGTGTGAGGCACAACCGTTGTGAGCGGAGCGCATGGCGAGATGGGCGGAGCCAGTTTTAAAAGTTCCTAGAGCGGTTCCTCAATGCTCCAGACACCGGGAAAAAGTAGGTCGTCCAGGGGCCATCGGTTTACAAGTGTGAGGCATACCCGTTGTGGGTGAAACGTGCGTCGAGGTGGGCGGGGACAGTCTTGAAAATTCTTCAAATTCGGTTCCAAAGCACTCCAGGCCTGTTTTGTGATACGGCCC